TAAAAGTATCAACACAAGACAGAACACAAACAATCATTAGCCAGATACCCACACCCACGTACAGACTGGCGAAGCGACTCAACGGCCTGCTGACTCCTTATGTTCCTTGCGCCTTCAGCCTGAAGTCTCCAAAGGAATTTGTAGACTTACTGCGGGGCACACGGGCCACAGGGATAAGAGCCTCGTTGGACGTAGAATCGCTGTTTACCAACGTACCTGTGGACGAGACAATCGGAATGATAGCCGACAGAGTGTATCGTGATCCAGCCTGTACTCCTCTTGACATACCAGAAAATATTCTGAGGAAACTACTCCAAGCTTGGACTAAAGAGGCACCCTTCTTGAGCCCGGATGGGCACATGTATAAGCAAGTAGATGGGGTCGCCATGGGTTCTCCCCTAGGTGTCCTGTTTGCAAACTTCTATATGGGTACCATCGAGCAAAAAGTCTTAGTTGACATGAACTTGAAACCGGCCATATACTGCAGGTATGTTGACGACATTTTTACACAGGTACCTGATGTCAGACATCTGCAGGAGCTGAAGGAGGCATTTGAGCAGAGTTCCGTGCTGCGTTTCACTTACGAGATGGAAAAGGATGGGAAGCTGCCCTTTCTAGATGTAACAGTCATGGAAAAGGGCGGAGGTTTCCACACTGCAGTCTACACTAAGGAAACAAACATAGGAATGTGCCTAAATGCCAACAGCGACTGCCCTGACAGGTACAAGAGGAGTGTTGTTAACGAAGTGAAAAAAGTAACTCACTATTTATTTTCTTATGCATTGTTTCGTCAATCTTCTAAGTTTAGTAACAGCAGAATTGCTGGAGTTTCTCAATAGAAATGTCACAGTTTTTGGCATAATAATAATGTTTTTAAGTCACGTTTTTAAGTATCTTAAAAAAAAAATTGTGAAGGTTTTGTAAGATTACTTCGTGGTTAGAATGCAATCAAAGAGATTACGCTGACACATGATTAGAATGATATTATTTTCTACTTAAACCGATTTTCAGTAAATCTTTATGTGGACCAAGCATTAGAGTGGATTTCATGAGGTTTGTAATGTTTCATATTGACATCAAATGCAACAAAAATAAGAATACAGTAATTAGGCTACTTTTTTATTACATTTGTCGTGTGTGGGTAGGCAGGCAGGAGAGTTACTCAGTAGAAGTTCTTGAGAAGCAGCATCACGTATAACATTTGAGGTTTAAGGCTCATACTCTGTATTCATATGAAAAATTAGTTTACTAAGAATTATTTTACACTATATATAATGTAGTATTTTCCCTTGTAAATTGATGTAAATACGGTCGTTATATTGTATATTATTTAATCATAAAAAAGTTTTTCTGTGAAGACAAGATAAGTTTAATTAGTTTCAAGAAATAATATTTGGCAGTTGTAAAAAATTTATCATTATCACTAGGATAACTTTTTTTTTATAAAAGCAAGTACAAATTGGGCAAACCCAAAATAGGCAAACACAAAAGTAAACAGAACACACAGAACACAGGAGCAATACATGAAAACAAAAAGGGATACATAGAACAAAAAACAAAGGATGAAACATACAGGAGACAAAGTACAAAGAACATGAAACCCCCAATCGGGCACAGCAAGTAAAACAAACATAAACATTGACAGAAACCAAAATATACAGAGAACACACAAAAAACATACCCATAAATCCGTAAATACATAAAAACATATATACACAAAAACAGATAAAACAACCCTCCCTACAACCCAAGCACATAATCAGTAGTACATAATAACAGCCAGCCTCGCAGACCATACACTAAGAGGCACAAGCACAAATCTACAAACAGCTACAATAAAATAACCAGAAACAGAAATTGAAATTGAAATTGAAATAAGTTTATTGAGGTAAAATACACACAAAGGGATAAGGTAGCTCAAGCTATTCTCACCCCGTTCAGTACAACGTGTTAGTACATACATAGACACACATCACAAACAATAAACATGAAAGACATTCACACACGAGTAACTGAGTAACCGACACCACACAACAACCACAGAGAATATAGGAAACGATAAAGAAAAGACAAGAGAGCCGGGAACACACGCCACACCCACAGCCACACGCAACCACCCACCCCACAAGTACACTGTTACGACCCTGAGTTCTTATTTGGAAACCTGAGGTCAAATTGAGTTCTAAATAGTTATGTAAGAAGAATATTTAATTAACAATAACGTTTATATTCAGGGGCTTCTCATACCCCTGATACGTATTTGTTTGTCTCCCTTGCGAGACGTATGACGAATCTTGTTATTCACAGATCATTCAGACTCTGGGCTTGTTGATTATTAAATATAAGATTGAACTAGTTATCAGCTATTCTTAGAATTGTTAAAGTAACTAGTAATGAATGTCGGTGAAGACTTGTAATGATTATGGCTGTACGATCAGTTAGGTATTTTCCCGGCAGCAGCTTGAGTCTGCTGCCGGGAACACTGGGCTGGGCGGGAGGTCTTTCTTCTGGTTCTGGCGGCTGTGGTGCTTACACTCTTCCTGTGGGCTCTGTTCTTCTCCTCCTTCTCTCTTCCCTTACTTTACTGTGTTTGTTATACAAGATAACTATCTGACTGGGCATTACTATGTTACTGGCTAGGTGTGTATTTAGTTCTTGTGTAATCTAAGCTAGTGTTTGGGTATCTCTAAGTGTACTCTAGGGGGCACTAGTGAACCCACTTATGCTTTAAGTCTGTGATGTCTATGATACAAGTGTGAGTCAGGAAAGTAGTCTTTACCCTAGTTGCAATTGTAAACCTTGCATCCTGCTTATGTGGAACAAGGTATTCAACAAAAGGTAGAGTGGTAAAGTGATTTATTGTAGTTTGTATATGTGGGGGTTATTAGAGGGTTTAATAAATAAGGAATAAGCTAAGAGTATCTTTCATCCTGTTTAGAGGGGGAGTAGGTGACTACCTTAGACAGCAGACGTTTAGTCTAGCCAAACAAGTATTCATTGCTGGGAACATTCTTCCCTGGGGGCCAGGGCCTACCTATTCCTACTATTTTAAGAACTGTGATTTTCAATATTGAACCTTTCAGTACAACAACCTACCTCCTATAACAAGTGGGCGCCTGTCCGGGAGCTGAAAAATTTTATATATAAATTGTAAAAAGTTAGATTTTTGAGTGCCGAAACTAAATTTGTTGCATTCCGCAGAACGGTTGTGTGGTAGCCTAGGGTCTAGGTCAACTAGCAAAGGATACATCTTACACTGTCTGGACATCCAACTGGATCACTTCATGATTGAGGTAATTGGGGCTTTGTAATAGGGGCTGTGAGAAATTTTTATATTTTTTTCAAATTGTTATTTTTATTTTTACTTTTGGCTAGTAGCTAGAATAATTAGTGATGGAAGCTAAATTGCAGGAACTGGCAAAGACACCTTCAGTGGTAGGGATTAAGAAGCTGACCAAAGCTAACTTAGTGTTGTTAGGCAAGGAATTGGGCCTCGAGTTATATGATGCTAATAAAAAGTGGGTCTTAACGAATGAACTTTTACAGAATTGCATAGACCAGGGCCTATTGGCAAGTGATACAATTTTATGCCAGGCCAGTCCAGCTGAAAGTGATGCTAGCAGGAATATAGAATTAGAAGTACAGCTAGCCCAATTAAGACTGACAGAACAAAATGCTAGAGTAGCAGAGCAAAAGGCTAAAGTAGAAAAGCAAAGGATCAAAAATGAGATGGAAAGAATTAGAGTAAATACCGCTGTACCACCACCTGCCGGGGGATTCAAACCCCAGGCATTATAATAAAAAGCATAACCTGCCTGAATTTTCAGAGTCAGACCCTGAAAGATTTTTCAACCATTTTCAGAGACTGGCCAGGTCCATGAGCTGGCCAGAGGAAGAGTGGGTGAAAATCCTACAGGAAAAACTTAGAGGTAAAGCCAACACACACCGCCAATCGTACTCATGGGCACACAAGCCGAGGAACCCAGTAACACCACTGGGGCAACAGACGGTAGGGAAGCTCTCTCCCCCACACCAACACAAGGCGACAGATCCGTAGCCACCAACAGGGGAAAATCCTCCTCCCGAAACAAATTCACTGGCGCAGCCGCCACACCAGTACAGACTGCCGCCAGGTACCTCTCAAGTCCACATCGAAAACATGTCCTGGGCTGCCCTGCATAGAAGGCGCGCATGGTGTAGCCCAGGGGTCTCCAAACTTTTCAATGTAAGGGCCACATTATATATTTCCCATATTTATGCGGGCCGGAGGAATAAAAAATGAAAAAAAACAAAAAACAAATCAGTGCATTCACTATACACTCTTTTATGATACTACCATCAGTGAAAGGTTTTTCTTTTTTAGCCAACACATAGGCAACTTTGTAACTGGCTCTAGTTGAAGTTTCATTTTCAGATTTTTTCTTACTGAAAACAGCTTGTTGAGAATGCAGACTGTGCTGAAATGATTCAAACTTTTTAGTGCGTTCTGCTCCTGTGATGTGAGAATAACTTGAGCCATGTTTAGATTCATAGTGCCGACGAATATTGTATTCCTTCAGAACAGCAACACTGTCTCTACATATTATGCATAAAGCTTTATAATTTGCTATCACAAAAAAGTACTTTATCTTCCATTCGTCATTGAACCGACGGCACTCAATGTCCACTTTTCTTTTCTTTATCTTTTCCATATCTGAAAACATAAGGGTAAAATAAATGAAATAAATTCTACAGGAAAAAAACAGCTTGTATGTGGTGTTAAAAAGCATAGCATATTATTATAAAGTGGTAAATATTATGGCTTTCGTTGATAAAATATTATGGCTTTCGTTGATAAACTTAATGGTTACCATTTTAACTATTTTAAACATGCAATATTTTTGGCTACAATAGTATTATTGCTATTTTGTATAACTAAGATAAAGGCATTGTCAAAGTACAGAGAAAAGAATATTGTACAGTGTTTGTGCTCCCTGAAACGGAAGCAGCGAAGCCCCACTCGCCCTCCATCCCCACAATATACAGTTATACACAACTGATTGGTTGTAATGCACAACACATACCTACCAGTATTAGTGTCTGTGCGTCACACTATCGAGAGAGAGGAAAACTGACTCGGGTTGAGCGCCACCAGTCAGCAGCCCCAGCTTTGAATAATTCTGCGATGCCATTCGTACGATAATTATTTTTTCAAGGCCACCACACAGGGATTTGTTTGGAGGGCCGGATGAAATTATGTGGCGGGCCGGATGTGGCCCGCGGGCCATAGTTTGGAGACCCCTGGACTGTAGCCCATCAACGTGATAGTTGACGGAACAGGAGACTTAAGATGCAGGGCGAGGGTCCTGGTACCGCACGAGAACCCCCTTCATCTGCAGGAAGAGATGGAATTCAACGGGAGTGACACCATGGTCCCATAGTTTCCAAAATATTGCCGAAGCAGGTCGTCTGAGAACTCAAAAGGGACCCCCCCATGCAGCACCACATAAGTGAGTGAGCAGCATCGGTCGGAGACAGAGACGGTACCACCGTCATCAGGAAAGGTAAACTAACGCCCATCATAACGGGCCACAAAGTCGTTATAAACAGCCGGTGAATGGAACTTAACAAGTACCCGGTGGTTCGTGAGGAGCTGTACACCAAAGACATCCGGTACCTGAACGCGGAACATATCTAACATAACAATTTCCACGGCAAGGTTCGATTCCCTGCCAGAGAACTATGGGCCAATCGTCTGCGAACGGCGAATAGAGGGAAGGGGGTCCCCATGACGCCACACAAACAGTTGGAGGGCTGCGCCCCTAGTCAGGACACCAACAGCCGGGTCAACACTCTCATGTACACCTCTTTGGCCATAACAGTTGAACGGCAGAATTGGTATTAACCCCTGGAGGGTTATCAAGGCAACCACAAGTGCTTACTAACCAACAATTCTTTGGACCTCGACATAGTCCAGAGCCAAAGTAAATTCCCAATTTGTATACACCGAGAAGCGAGATACACCTGTCGGGGTATACACAGTGGAATAATGTAAGTGAGGCAAGTTGTTATCAGGGAGTGAGGACTCGTGGGAGGCGTGTGAGGCCGGGTAGCCTGGCTGGGGCCCACACTGCCTGCCTCGCTATCACAGTAAGTGGCTGCTTCAGTCAGGTGTAGGACACAACCTTACTGCGGTATGTATTAAACAAATATTTTAAATTTATTCCGAAAGGCGAGTTTATCGGGAAGTGTCAGTAATCATGTGTGTGTGAACACCCCGCCATAGCAGCAGTACAACACCCCGCCATAGCAGCAGTACAACACCCCGCCATAGCAGCATGTGCAACACCCCGCCATAGCAGCAGTACAACACCCCGCCATAGCAGCATGTGCAACACCCCGCCATACCAGCAGTACAACACGCCGCCATAGCAGCAGTACAACACCCCGCCATAGCAGCAGTACAACACCCCGCCATAGCAGCATGTGCAACACCCCGCCATAGCAGCAGTACAACACCCCGCCATAGCAGCAGTACAACACCCCGCCATAGCAGCAGTACAACACCCCGCCATAGCAGCATGTGCAACACCCCGCCATAGCAGCATGTGCAACACCCCGCCATAGCAGCAGTACAACACCCCGCCATAGCAGCAGTACAACACCCCGCCATAGCAGCAGTACAACACCCCGCCATAGCAGCATGTGCAACACCCCGCCATAGCAGCAGTACAACACCCCGCCATAGCAGCAGTACAACACCCCGCCATAGCAGCAGTACAACACCCCGCCATAGCAGCATGTGCAACACCCCGCCATAGCAGCATGTGCAACACCCCGCCATAGCAGCAGTACAACACCCCGCCATAGCAGCAGTACAACACCCCGCCATAGCAGCAGTACAACACCCCGCCATAGCAGCAGTACAACACCCCGCCATAGCAGCATGTGCAACACCCCGCCATAGCAGCAGTACAACACCCCGCCATAGCAGCAGTACAACACCCCGCCATAGCAGCAGTACAACACCCCGCCATAGCAGCATGTGCAACACCCCGCCATAGCAGCAGTACAACACCCCGCCATAGCAGCAGTACAACACCCCGCCATAGCAGCAGTACAACACCCCGCCATAGCAGCATGTGCAACACCCCGCCATAGCAGCAGTACAACACCCCGCCATACCAGCAGTACAACACCCCGCCATAGCAGCATGTGCAACACCCCGCCATACCAGCAGTACAACACCCCGCCATAGCAGCATGTGCAACACCCCGCCATAGCAGCAGTGCAACACCCCGCCATACCAGCAGTACAACACCCCGCCATAGCAGCAGTACAACACCCCGCCATACCAGCAGTACAACACCCCGCCATAGCAGCAGTACAACACCCCGCCATAGCAGCAGTACAACACCCCGCCATAGCAGCAGTACAACACCCCGCCATAGCAGCATGTGCAACACCCCGCCATAGCAGCATGTGCAACACTCCAAACTGATTGTTGCTGCCGGAGACTTCATTGTGCACCTCATACTCATATGTAAGCCTTAACGCAACAAAGGATTACAGACGACACAAAAAGTCTTAAATCAGACCTCAGCGGGAATTTTTACATTTACAATTATATTTAACCTCTACACCTTACAGTTATGACAGTTGATAAAACTTTGTTGGCATTGCACCATCTATGTATTTACAATATATATTACAACATTATTGGTAAGTCTTTTAATAATTTACATTATATTATACATTCTTGGTAAGTCTTTTGTTTTGTTAATATTTCTGTCCAAGTTCGCGAAGAACCTTCAATTTCTTCTACTTTCATGTGGTTCTTCCTACTCAGTAACTGATGATGGATGGAATAGTTAGTGTAGACTGGCTTTAGCCTCCAGGTGGTGCGTGCTGGGGTAGTGACTTTTCAGGTGAACAAATCCACAAGGGCCGTGATGAGGGTTCGAACCTACGTCCAGGATGGTCCCAGACCCCAGACGCTGGTTCGAATCCTCATCACGGTCCTTGTGGATTTGTTCATAAGATGCATCACGCTATTGTGATTTCTGTGTATATGGACTCTTCAGGTCTTAATTACACAAACTAATGAAATAATTAGGAATAAAATATGTGATTGAGAAGGGAAGGGAATTATGAGGAGAAAGCGCCAAGCCATCACGATTATATAGCAAATGGAAGGGTCTATGTGATGGATTTTTTGTTAGTTTATTGTGCACCCCATACTCATCCTTGAGCGGTAGCGCAAAAAAAAGGATTACATAGGGCACAAAATGTCTTTATCAGACCTCAAAGGAGATTATTACATTAAACAATTTCATCTATCCTTCGCACCTTATAATTATAATGTCAGCTAGTTATAGAGAATGTCCCATTTCAATAGCTATGTATTTCTAGTTAATCATGATACATTTATGGTAGCTAGATCTTACCGTCGTTATTCCGCAGATGCTGACGTTGCTGCTGGTGGTGGGTGTAGGCGTCGCTGTAGCGGGCGCCCACACCCCGGCTTCATGCCTCTACGAGGACATTCGTGGCACCTGGGTTCTGACAGAGACGGAACGCACAGAAGACCACACCATCACCTGTGATGAGCTGGGCACCACCCCCCACACCAAGACCTTCACCCTAAGCTTCCCCAACACCGCCGTGGATGAGATAGGCAACCAGGGCACCTGGACCATGGTCGCTGACCAGGGCTTCGAGGTGGGTGGGAACTGTGCTCTTGTTGTCGGGGAGCAGTTGTTACTGCCGCTGCTGCTCCTCTGGTGACAATAGTGAGCTTTTTGTAAGGGGGTGTGAAGGAGGAGGGACACTGTATTCCCTATTGTTGGATATGCTTGAATATATACAATTCCTGTTCCCGCAGTGATAATGACGTTTTATAATACCTGAGTGTGGGAGATGTTGCGGGTGTTTGGCATGGTGAGTCTTACGTTTCCAAGTCAGTTCACAGACACAAGTTAGCGTGAGAATCACATGAGTGTACATATGGTGTTACTGTATATAAACGCTAGTTTGATAAGACAAGATGACACGCACAGTGATATCAGATGGACGCTATGTATCTGTGAGGCCATTGAATGGGATCACGGGGGAGACATCTCCCGTCACGCAGGGTGCAGTCGCACCTCCACAGATCTCCAGTATCAGCTTTTGATACTGGTAATGGCTCAAAATGGCCACCACTTACGGGCTATTCATGCCCGTGCCACCTACTGGGTGGCTTAATCTTCATCAATCATCAATCAATCGAATGGGATCGAACCCACAACCCTGGACTCTCCAAGCATACACACTGAATCATGATGAGCTCAAGGATCCCTAGTACCAGACTTGGAGTTTAAAAGGCAGCATCCGATACCACAATCAACGTTTTACGAGGTACCCGGACAGTAGGACCCAAGATATCAAAGACCCATAGCTTTCCACATATAATGCATTTGTAAATATCAAGATAAAAATTAAACCACTACTTATTTTGCCCTACTTTATTTTTTATACAATACTTTTGTATACAAATATTATCCTATTTTAGTTTTGTATACAATAGATATTGTCAGAATAGGAGAGTAGGTAAAAGACCACAACTAATACACCAGTCTATACCACAACTAATACACCAGTCTATACCACAACTAATACACCAGTCTATACCACAACTAATACACCAGTCTATACCACAACTAATACACCAGTCTATACAATAACTAATACACCAGTCTATACAACAACTAATACACCAGTCTATACCACAACTAATACACCAGTCTATACAACAACTAATACACCAGTCTATACCACAACTAATACACCAGTCTATACAACAACTAATACACCAGTCTATACCACAACTAATACACCAGTCTATACCACAACTGTATATACGTGTCCCTCCCCAATTAGTGACTATTTCTGAACCTCATATTGTTAACATGACTCAAGTTCATCTTACTGGCTAGGTAAGGATCAACGAGCGGTCATACTTCGCCTTCTCCTCCTACGAGGTGGTCGGCAACTTGACCGTCTCCCAGTGTGACCGCACCTTGAATGGCTGGGCCAGGGACCGCACCGTCAGGAACTGGTCTTGCTTCAACGCTAAAAAAGTTACTAAGGTATATTGTCTTGTTATGGGATGGTATAACGGCTTCCGTTGTCGTGTGTTGAGTTCGGCCTCCGATGTCATGTGATGACTGTAGCTTGCGTTGTCATGTGATGAGTACGGCTTCCGTTGGCATGTGATGAGTACAGCTTCCGTTGTCATGTGGTGAGAACGGTCTCCGTTATGTGACGAATACATCAGTTGCTTAAATGACAACGGGTGTAGTACTAAGCATCCACCAGTCTCAGGAGACTATGGAGTTGCGCTCTGGTTGTCGGTCTGGAGCGGCCTCACCAGGGCGCAAAGCCTGGGTAGGTTGACATGGAGGAAAATCTGTTACCCAGGCAGCAGGTCCCCCACTCTCCACGGCGACGAAAGTCTCCAATGGAAAGGCAAACGCCAATACAATTGGTTCCAGCGCCGTCGCAGGAACTGAGAGCTCCGAGGTTGACCTAGAAGTTGGTGAAAAAAAGGCTCTACAGGGACTCCAACCCCGGAGACCGCCGTGGTCGGGGCCGGAGAAGAACCACCCCATCAAGGGCATGAACGACCCCGGCCTCCTGAAGCAGAGCCTGGGGGGCCGCACGAGCCCCAGGAGGTGGACGTCCCGGTCCCGCACCTACGGGTTCCTGACAGTGAGCGTCACAGCCCTCCTTCACCCGAGGCCGGCCTCCTTCAAGACCAAGCAGAAGGAAGAGTGATAATTATCAATTAATTATATTATTTTTATAATAATTATTATACTAATAATTGTTGTATTTAATAATTATCACTTATTGTAATGCTGTATTTATTTTATTTATTATTATTTTGTATTTATAATTATCACCAAGTAGAAGGAAGAGTGATACTTATCAATTAATTATATTATTATAATAATAATTGTTGTATTTAATAATTATCACTCTTCCTTCTGCTTGGTGATAATTGTAAATACAACATAATAATAATAAAATATTATTATTTTTATGTTATTAATACCAGCAGAAGGAATAGTGATAATTATCAATTAATTATATTATTAATATAATAATTATTATAATAATAATTGTTGTACTTAATAATTATCACTCTTCCTTCTACTTGGTCTTGAAGGAGGCCGGCCTCGGGTGAAGGAGGGCTGTGACGCTCACTGTCAGGAACCCGCAGGTGCGGGACCGGGCCGTCCACCTCCCGAGGGTCGTGCGGCCCCCCAGGCTCTGCTTCAGGAGGCTGGGGTCGTTCATGCCCTTGATGGGGTGGTTCTTCTCCGGCCCCGACCACGGCGGTCTCCGGGTTTGGAGTCCCTGTAGAGCCTTTTTTTCACCAACTTCTAGGTCAACCTCGGAGCTCTCAGTTCCTGCGACGGCGCTGGAACCAATTGTATTGGCGTTTGCCTTTCCATTGGAGACTTTCGTCGCCGTGGAGAGGGGGGGGACCTGCTGCCTGGGTAACAGCTTCTCCTCCATATCAACCTACCCAGGCTTTGCGCCCTGGAGAGGCCGCTCCAGATCGACAACCAGAGCGCAACTCCAGTCTCCTGAGACTGATGGATGCCTACTACTACATCTGTTATCATTTAAGCAACACCATCTCTGCTGTCAAGCAGAAGAGACGAATCTTTCTGACAGATTTTAAGTTAATGTCTATACTGTCTGCTCTTATAATAATGTAAATTTGGGCTTTTCCGAGATGAGTTTACAAGTGTGTTATTTACAAGGTGTTTGTAAGTTTTGTTTCCATCTCCAGGTGGCCCCTCGTGTGAGTTACAGGCCCGTCCTGGCCAATCTGGACTTGCCCTACAAGAATGACCTCGTCCTTATTGACAACATCAACTCAGCTCAGAGTTCATGGACCGCTAGGGCTTACTTCCAGTTTGAAAAGTAAAGAGTTTGTAGTGTTAAAACAGTTTCTCCTTGTGTTTTCTCGTTCTCTTTCTCTCGTTGTCAAATTCAGCTTATTCATCACTTTCCTTCTCAAATACATTGTGCGAAAAAATTATTTTTTGGACATAAAGTGTCAGAGAGCGCAACCTAACAGTGAGCATTTCTACGCTGGGTTCAGGTACACGGTGAGGGAGATGTACCAGCGTGGTGGAGGTGGGAGGTGTGCCGGGCACTCTAGGCCCTTCCCAGCTCCCGCCACCGACCTCCAGAAGGCCAACGCCGCCTACCTGCCGAAGAACTTCGACTGGCGAAACGTGAGTGGCGTGAACTACATCTCACCAGTCAGGGACCAGGGCTCCTGCGGGTCCTGTTACGCCTTTGCCTCCATGGCCAACTTGGAGGCCCAAGTGAGGATCGCCACCCGCAACCAGCGCCAGGACGTTTTCTCCACGCAGGCATGGACATTTTCCTTTAAAATCTATAATGTAACTTGTGTATAAAGTATCTCTTCTGATGTATAATGTATAACTTGTGCGCCACTTAAATAACTATTTTGTATTGTAGAATTCTGCCCATAAGTTTGTTTCATCACTGTCCACAGTCACAAAGTTTCATCCCTCTATCCATGGCTCTGGCTGTCATGAGGCTGCGATTCGCGTATAATATCAACATTATCATGTTGATATATCAACATATTATATCAACTTCGATATAACAAATAACAATCAACTTCGTCAAGTATAGACATGCGATATCATCACAACATATCCTGGAGCACAATATTACGCTGGCTCATTTTCCCATTGGATCATTCATACTCCTCAGGATATCGTGTCGTGTTCGCGATTGTCTCAGGGATGCAACGGCGGGTACGACTATCTGGTTGCCGGTCGCTATGCCCAGGACCAGGGAGTTGTCGTCGAGGCTTGCAACCCCTACACTGCCACTGTAAGTCACTCACTGCTCGCTTTGTGAATGCCAGAGATATAAATTCCTCACTTTAAAATTATAACTTTCACAAAGATGCAATAGATTTAACAGTCAACGACCATGTCAATGGGACTCTCTCTCTCTCTCCGAAGGAAGGCCATTGTGTCAGGAACGAGACGTGCCCACGCACCTATGTTAGCGAATATGTACACGTGGGAGGATACTATGGTGGATGTAACGAGGAGGCCATGCTGGAGGCAGTCGTCACTTCAGGGCCCATTTCCGTCTCTTTTGTAGTGTACGAAGACTTCCACCACTACGCCGGTGGCATCTATCACTACACAGGCCTTCGGAGTGATTTCAACCCCTTAGAGGTAACGTAGTTCAAAGCATCGCTCAACTCGATGGTGAATGTGTCTGTGTGTGTGGCGCAGGTTATGGTAAAGATGTAGGCGTACACAGTGTGCGTCGGTGTCCCGTTCGTAGCTAGGCCCTGATCAACCAGGCTGTGACTCATACGTCAGGCTGCGAGCAGCCGCGTCCAACAGCCTGGTTGATCAGTCCAGCAACCAGGAGGCCTGGTCGACGACCGGGCCGCGGGGACGCTAAGCCCCGGAAGCACCTCAAGGTAACCTCAAGGTAAGGCTTAAAACGGACTTCACGAGAAATGTCGAGGAAAAGTTTACGTGGCCAAGATTATGGCAGACATCATGATGCTGATCCATCAGTTCACATCGTGCTCTCATATGTGCGGATTTGGCTTTAAGCTTCCGCACCAAGTAAACAAGATGCTTGCAAAGTCACTCATCTGAAGTTTCTGAGAATGTTGTTTCAGACGAGATCAGTCGTAGCTTACTCGCCCTGGCTTTATAATTACTGTCTTAACCTAATTAATCGTATAACCAAGACGAGTATGAATGAACAAGGTACCATCATACAACTTAATTCATTAATAATAATCTGTGGTGATTCCTGTACTTTGTTATACGTTATTACCACAGCCTATGCTCGCGAATTCATCCACTGACATTTATATTTTTTGTTAATTATTTAATGTTAATGATACTGTAATCATTGTGGTTATTAATTACGCATTAACATGATTCATAAGTAGCTATATATCTATCTCTGGCATTTTATTTAGCATTATATGTAAGGACTGTAACCAACTTTGTCAATTAATACTGTCGCTGTATTTATGTGTGTGCTCAAAATATTACAAATGCATCATTTTTAACGTTAAAGTTGTAACACTCTAAAGACTATGTCTTCAACTTAACCTATTATATAATATTAATATTAGTAAATCTTCATTCTAATTCGTTGGTGTGTCCCCTGGCGGCACAGGCGACGAGTCACGTGGTGCTGGTAGTGGGGTTCGGGCTGGACCCTGACTCCGGAGAGAAGTTCTGGACTGTGAAAAATTCGTGGGGCCGCGACTGGGGCGAGGACGGCTACTTCAGAATCAGGCGAGGGAATGACGAGTGTGCCATCGAGTCCCAGGCCATCCGAGTCACCGCCATACCTTGAGTGTAAGGGCAGGAGCAAGAGCGAGGGGGAGAAAGGTGCAGATAGAGAGGGGGAAAATAAGATGAAGATTAAGCCACCCAAGAGGTGGCACGGGCATGAAAATCCCATAATTCCGGAAAAATAACAAATAAGGAGAGAATTTAAAGCATAGGATGTCTGGGATGCTCCTGGACGCAGGTTCAAATCCTCGTCACGGCCCTTGTGGATTTGTTCATTTGATACATCACGTTAGTGTGATCTCTGTGTGTAATGGGTTCACAAAACCACACTCATTACTGGGAATTAGCCGTCAATAATCGTAGAGAGTATACAGGATTAGATGATTGATGTCTAACTTTAGTTAATGATAATCCTCAAATTATGCTACAATGTACCTGTTGATAATCCTCAAATTTGATTATAATATGTCTACTAATCTTCTTAAAATTTTCTTACAATGTATCTGTTAACATTTTTCAATTTTGCTAGAAATTACCTACTTAAAATTATCTGTCAGAGTAAGGGCCTGTCCGAAACGCTATGCGTGCTAATGGCCTTACGAGAATATAAAAACATCAATGCTATGTACTCTCATAACCCAATGTACCTTCTTGTATATATATAAATAAGATAAATAAAGGTTGCTTACGGAAACTGACATCTTCCCTCTAGGTCAAAGGGAAATTTGATCCAGAGGGAAATTTGACTTACATCAAACAATTGGATGCTCGGTGTTAAATTTATTTGTGTGATTACTAGGACCATCTCTCGAACAAACGTGGCCTCAAGTGTTCATAGCCTTCTTCGATCACAGGTGGATATCTAAATCAGTACATACATCACGTGACCAGACTAAGAATTTTAAGTCGATATAGGTGGCTATAAGAGGCGAAATGACTCGGGTTGCAAGCAACATGACCCGGGGTTACCTTAATGCCTTTACACATTTCTAATGTGTCAATTATGAAGCTATCTACATTACATAACCTGTTTACTTATTTACTGATAAATATGTACACATGTACACAGGAGTTAGTCAGCTTGTTCAAATCTTTTTCAAATCAAATCTTTTATTCAGGTAAGGTACATACATACAAGGTAAGATACAAAGTTGATGGATTTATAGATAGAGCTAGTACATACAATGCCTAAAGCCACTATTAGGCAAAGCGTTTCGGGCAGACACGAAACGCTTGTGGGGGGATGTATCCTGGAGAGGGTCAGTAGTTCCACCTTATCGAACTTTGAATACCATATACTCTCAACTTGTGTTTATCTACAAAGAATAAGTTGGTAAATACAAGCTCAATCACAGGACTATTAAAAAATAGAATCATAACCAGTGTCGGATTCAGCGTAAAGAATAAAGTCCCACCTTTTCCCTCCTAACTAACTACCATTTTCTTTGATATCAACAGTTTTGCTTCTCTGGGGTAAACTATGTTAACGATAAGTATTTTATGATTTTTGTTCAATGCGACAATGTAGCCAATGTATAACCATGAAGGAAAAATACAATAAATTACTTATATTATTTTTTATTATTAACGAGTAATGATACACACAGTAATGTGCTACTTACCCGATTTTATACGAGGGGTTACAGTTTATTATAATAATAATAATAATAATAATAATAATAATAATAATAATAATAATAATAAGAATAAGAAGAAGAAGAATGCCCCTGTCCACAAATGTGGTGATCTCACTGATGTTAACAACTACAGACCTATATCAATCCTGCCTAACTTGTCAAAAATATTTGAAAAACTAATCTACAAGCAGCTTTACTCTTATCTAGCCAAACACAATAGTTAGTTCAAGTTCAAGTTCAAGTATGTTTATTGAGATAAGCAATAAATACATCTCAAAGGGATAGAGTAGCTTAGGCTATTTCTACGTCCCCCCCTCTACTTCAAGTCCCTCAAGGGGCGCACAAATTCAGTGAGTACAAAAAGACAAATAACATTACAAGAATCCCATTTAACATTGCAGGTTTATATAGTAAGTACAGCATATAATTGTTACACTCTCCGGGCAACAATAGTTAGTTTAGTTCATTTATTATGCACCCCATACCCATCTTGTGGGCGGTAGTGGAAAGGGTTACAGAGGCACATAATGGGCTCAGGGACTGAACCCCACAATTCATTTAGCTAAGCAAGTTACAATCTTGATGAGCTAGTTACAAAATTCAATATAAGTCGTCACATCAACAATGGGTTCGAGATCGACCATAAGTACAGTTTCTAAATTAAGCAACTGACATATGTGGAGAGCTAGTGTCACAATTGATATGTTTGTCCTGCACACCGCCCCCCATCCAGTGGGCAGCGGTGGATAGGTTACACTCACTCAGTTACTACCTACAGTTAGCAAACTGGGGATATTTGGCTAAAATTTCTGGTAGCAGATCATTTTGAATGAAATATTTACACATCGCTGGAACATTGGTTATAGAATTGTCTCTAAATTCACGTATCTTTTCGCACTCCATCACATAGTGACGGAGGGTGTGCGAATAATTTTGTTGACACAGTTTACATTTGGTCAGGTCTACATTTATTTATTTATTTATTTATTTATGCATATACAAGAATGTACATAAGGAATGTGAGGATACAAATATGGTAATTACAGTCTTGTAAAGCCACTAGCACGCGCAGCGTTTCGGGCAGAAACATCAGCAGATAATGAGAATTCCCAGAGATACTTGTAACCGAGTCTAAGCCGAGCAGTAGTAACATCTAGAAGTCTGCTGATTTTATTGGATGATCCATAGATGTGTGGCTCCTCTTGCATGATAGTATGATGATAGATGGAATTACTGGTGTCAATTTCACTTTGCCTCAGATCTACAAGATCTTGTTGAAGTTCTCGGTGTACTGCTGCTCTCAGATTGCTCATTGACAATCCAAGGTTACACTCAACGGCTCCTTTAAAGGCAGATTCTTTAGCTAACTTATCAGCTCTATCATGCATTCGGAGGCCAACATGAGATGGAGACCACATGAAATGGACTCTGTTACCATCCTTAATAATTTTGTTGTATTTGTGTCTAGCTTCGGACACGAGCATGTTACAGTTATGTCTTAAAGAGTTGAGAGCATTTAAGGATGATAAGGAGTCACTTACAATTAATGTATCAAGTTTGGAGACTTGTACACATTTCAGTGCAAGGATCAAGGCAAATAGTTCGGTCTGAAGGGTAAGTAAGTAAGTAATTATCAAAAGAGGTCTGAAGGGTAGAGGCCCAGTTGTTTATACGGACTCCCCACTCAAAGTACAAGCCATCGCCCATTGTCAGAACAACTGCACTTCCAGCTGCACCCGTGGTGCGGTGTAGGGAACCATCAGTGTATATGATTTGAGAGAGAGAATGCTCTGTGGACAGAGCATCAATATGGCTTAAGACATTGAGCTTTGCCTCAAGACGAAGCTTGGGCTGATCTCTAATTTGCTTCTTGGGTGGAAAGGGAGGGATTAAAACTGGAAAGGGTGTAACCTCCCACGGTGCAGGAAAGTGCCGTTGTTGTTTCTCTTGGTACAAATCATGAACCTGATACATTCTGAGTTGAGTTCCAGTTTTTGTTATCCATTTGGAACAATGCTGATCTTCAATAAAGAAATTCTGGAGGGCTTCTGTGCAAGGATTAGGATGAGTTAGCCTAAGCATTTTTATACCAATTTGACAGTTAATTTCAGTAACACGATCAACAACGCTCAGAATATTAAGTTCCTTTCTCATATTAAGTATCTTTGTGGTACGAGGGCACCCAAGGATTATCCTCAAGGCTTCGTTCTGCAATTTTTCAAGCCCTCCAAGTTTTTTTTCAGGCATCAAAACAAGCAGAGGTGCAGCATAATCCACTAAAGATCTGATGTATGCAAGGTACATCATTTTGACAATTCTGACATTGGCACCATAGCTTGAGTGATAACCTGCAACAACTTAAAGCAAAGTTCCAGGCTTCATATGGAGATGGTGGGGTGGGTAGATCTGACTTAAGTTCAATTTGGACCCCATAGTGGTCGCTTGTGAGTGTGGGCTCAACTGACCATGTTGCTGCATCTCTTAGGGAGGCTGAAACGAAGGTTAGGTCTAATCTACCTCCTTGGATGTGGGTGGGCTCATTCTTGTTTAGGATTTGGATTTCTGGTTGCTGGTCTAGTGGATGTGCAATGTGAGTGCCGGCCTCATTTGTTGTGTTCGAGCCCAATGCCAAACGATGATGGGAATTGAAATCACCACAAATGATTGTGTTTGATGTAGTCGCGTGTCCAAATAACACCGAGAGATCTACTTCAGCACGTGGAGACCTGTAAACATTAAACCCTTCAAGTTTGTCTGTCTTAGTTCAATGGATACTCCCATACCTTTGTCCCTGCTCCACAATCGGGTGGTCTGGTTATGGGCTTGGTGATCAGGTCACATTTTACATAGATTGCACATCCCCTGGATTGCCTATTAACACATGGAAGGAAGAAGCCTCGATAGCCTGAGATTTTAGGTTCTAATCCGTCTCAAAGCAGGCTCTCCTGTAGTATCAGGATGTCTATGTCTTTGGTTGCTGTTATGCATTGCAAGTGTTGCAATTTTGTGCACAGCCCAAGCCTCTGTCTTGAATGGACGTCTTCACACCCTCCACCATGGCCGATGGTGAAGGGCCATGTACTCCCTCCACCTGGTTTAGTCTTAGTAAGCTCCACATTTTTTGTGGGCAGGGGAGCTGGTATAAGTAATTATCAAAAGAAGGCACCAAACCGGGAAGGCTATGTAGCACCGTCAAAGTGCGAAATAATCAGAGGGCGCTAAATATCACCAAGAATGCCAATACGAGAACAGAATCGCATAAGGCGAACGATATCAAAAGTATCCGATTCACCAAGAATTCTATCGAGGGACAAGTGACCGCGAGGGACTGTCGGAAAGCAAGACACACGCACGTCCTTGAAGTCAGGACATTCAACAAGAATATGGACAACTGTAAGAGGGACAACGCAATTTGGACAATAAGGAGCAGGGCAGCACTCCATTAAGTGACCGTGAGTTGAGCGAGCATGGCCAATCCGCAACCTTGCTAGAGCAGTTTCCCACCGCCGGTTATGGTAGCAGGAAGGCGGCCACGGGGACACACTACGTTTGAGAGTGCGCAGCTTGTTACCAACTACAGAAGATCAACAACCCTGCCAACGGGCAAGGATGGAGGAATGAATAACAGTATAAGAGTCGGAATAAGGAATACCTTTACGGGAGATGGGACAAGAACGGATAGCTTCCCTAGCGGCAGCATCTGCACGTTCATTTAAAGAAACACCAATATGGCTGGGAAGCCAGCAAAACTCTACTGATTTAAATTTACTAGAAATAAGAAACAGCCAATGTTGAATCTCGATGACTACTGGATGGACAGGATTAAAGGACTCTAGAGCCATGGGGGCACTACGAGAGTCAACTACAACCACAAAGGAGGATCGACAATGAGAAAGCAAGATACAGAGAGCATACAAAATAGCATAAAGTTCTGCTGTGAAGACGCTAGCCTCCGAAGGCAGGCGACACATATAAGTGCGGTCAGGAAAAACAACAGAGTAGCCCACACCGTTCGCAGACTTGGATCCATCGGTGAAGATGGGAACGGAGTGGGAGTGCGAAGAAAAGTGCTCAAGGAAAAGGCATTTCAGAACTGTAGGAGGGGTAAAAGCTTTAGTGATGCTGGTCAAGGATGTACAAAACTTTGGAAGGGGGACTCTCCTCGGGGACAAGGAAGGAACAATACGAGGAGAAACATTAGAAATACGAACGGAAAGGGAGTCCTGTAGGCGAGATAACCGGACAGAAAGAGGGAGGTGATGGAGAGGAACAGGAACCACAGGAGGGGTAAAAGTTAAAGCACGACAGAGGCGAGAGGAAGGGTGTTGTAAGGACCACGCAAGATAGCGAAGACAGTAGCGATCACGGCGGTCCTGGAGAGATAGGAAGCCAGTGTCAACATACAAATTGAGGGCAGGAGTCAAACAAAAGGCACCAGAGCCGAGACGCAACTCAGTATGATGCAAAGCATCAAGATGGCGAAGAGTAGCAGGAAAAGCAAAAGAGTATGCAGGGCAACCATAATCGAGTTTAGACAGGACCTGAGGAGTGTAAATAGAGGAGTGTGCACCTATCCACTCCAAGAAGTATGGGACAAAACCTTAAGTAGGTTAAGGGCCTTAGAGCATTCAACTTGGTGGTAAGAGATATGGGGCAACCAAGACAAGCGAGTGTCAAAGATTAACCCCAAAAGCTTAGCGGAATCCCTGTACACAAGGGGATGACCATAAAGCGACAGAGGGACGAAGAACGACATGCTTCCGAGTAAAAGTCATAGCACAAGTCTTAGACACAGAGAACTTGAAGCCATGATCAGTGGCCCAAGACGACACGGCATCAATCGCAAGTTGAAGCCGCTGTTGAAGGAGAGGCGAATCATCACCCTGACAGCAAAGGGTAAGATCGTCAACATAGAGAGCGGAGAAGATGCCAGAAGGAAGAGAGGAAAGAAGACCGTCGAGGGCAACTAGAAAAAGAATAGTGCTCAGAACACTACACTGGGGTACACCCTCATACTGCCTAAAAGGGGCAGAGAGAGTGGTACCAAGCCTCAGGCGAAAGGAACGACGAGAGAGGAAACTTTGGAGGAAAAGAGGGAGATTCCCACGAAGGCCAAAAGAACGAAGTTGAGACAGAATATGATACCGCCAGGTAGGGAGCTGATATAAGTTTTGGTCTGCTGTAGGCGTGGTGTGCCTTGGAGCAATTTGGGCACTTAGCTTGGATGGGCTGGTTTGCCTTGTGTTTATCAAGGCATATTTTCGTGTTGTGGGTCAGGATACTTAATAATAAGACATTGCAACAAATTTTGCATGACAACGTTTGCATCATCGGAAACTCTGCATGTTTTGGTTTTATGATACATTATGTGACATCAGGGAGGAATAGTGTTAAAAGAGAAAGCTGTACACACTTGGAAAATAAATGACAAACAATCTTTTAAACATGTATTTCTAGTGACAAAACTCACAGTGGAAACAAGGTAAAAAATTAAAAAAAAAAAAAAAAAAAGACACCTAAGTCTTCTTCGTGGTTATGTACAATACTGATGACCTTGCACATGAGTGATGTCATCAGTAATTAATATTATTATAGGTGGAATTACATTAAAGTGATTTTATTGTATTTACAATTCATGAAAAAGAGCCTTTAAAAAGGGGTTATCAAACACTGCATTCTCATTCACATTCAAATTCACTTAAAATAATATTCAACTTCAATTCAGGCTCAGTCTCCTCAACGCACACCTACAAAACCTCATTAAATGTTCATATAAACGATACACATCCTGAACTTTACTGTACACAATATTATATTTGGTACGAATCAAAATTTCAACAATAATTATCACGAATGCTTCAGTCTCTTGAGAGAGAAATATGATCTGTCGGTAAATCACATACAGTAGTTATAACATAAAGGGATTTTTAAATAAGATCATATTTAACATTTTGCATTAGAATAATAAAATAAATTAAAAAGAAACTAAACCCATGGATTGCAAAAAATAATAACAATTACTTAACAAAGCATCCATGTGAAATGATAAAATATACTTTATCTAATATGAAATATTTTATTTCACAATAGATGTTCACAATTTGTTAAGATTTTAGCAAAATTTTGCACTTTAAAAGTCGAAATAAAAACTTTCATTGCATAAGAGGGAACTTAAAGGAATGAGTAAACAGTTTGTACCTACAGTTTGCTACAGATAATTTCTCACAAAATCAGATATCTCTGTTTTTAGCTTCCCAAAAAGAATAATGAGTAATAAAAACAATTTATAAGAGTGCTCAAGCATTAAATAACATAAATCTACACATTAAAAATTAATACTGCAATCCATCAATTTATTGTACGCAAATATCCACTTGTCATATAATAAAAAAATACACCATTTTGGGGGCACTGACAAATTTCTTTTGATCCTTATATAAAAAACAGTACATAAAAAAGACACTTGCAACAAACTTGAGCATAAAATGAGGAAAATTAAATGTCTTAATGGAAAACCTTTCATCATGTTGTCTCAACCTTTAAGTATTATTTGGAGTAAAAAGACTTTCCATACCATGGCTCTTCATTTTAATATCTTGAAATAAAGCCATATAATTGAGTTACACAAAATTGTAAAAATTTTTATTAGCAAGGTCACAATATCTGGGAGTTTTGTGGAAGCACAGCCAATGATCACAATCAACATTTTCATAAAATGCTTGGTGTAACTATTCAATTTATTTTTGCTGGGATACTCAGACGAATTTTTACATTTAATGTTATCTTAACGTATAAAGGAAAAATTGGCTACAATTTTGTTAGATGTGATTTCCAAAAACATAAGCTCCATTTCCTGATCTCAAATTTACTTTTGTAAATTGGATTCTAAATATTTATGGAAATATTTGTGTTGTACAATATGGCCCATGTATCTCTATTTATGTCTTAAGAAAGCACACTTTCTTCACTAGTAAAAGATCCCAAGTTTCACTAAGAAGCAGAGTAGATTACTTCATTCACCTCTATACACCCAGTAGAGAAAGGAGACCCACATGTACAGTGAAACAGGTCATGCTCCTCATATAACCAATACAAATGACAAATTGTTTGGCTTGATTGGGCCGAAAGGTCCTACATCTGCCTATGGGGTTGTTTGTTGTGCTGGCAGCTATTTAAATTTGATAAAACAAATTCCTGCCTGGTGATATTACATCTGGCTATCCATAGTGTTTTACAAGCGAGAAGGCTTAACACCAGCTATGGACCAGGTAAAATATTGAGTTACTGCATCACAATTGCTAAGAGGAATCAATATGATATAAGGACTGTGTTGTACTAACAGTTCTGGAACCAAGCTCTGATATTAAGATATAGCTTGCAATATATCTTCCCAAGACAAATTGGTGTATGGAATATTTTGTCTTAATACTGTATGTTTAAAGCTAGCTAGTCACCAAGCAAACCTCTCCCAAGCCACCAACGAGAAGCTTCTTATCTCAAACAAAGGAAAAAATCCACATTTCAATGACGATGGCTATAGGACATTTAATTCATATAATAAATTATCAAAACTATTTCTTTATTCAGTGGGTGGTCCCAGGTGACTGACGTATAATATACAGATTGAAGAGCCACAGTACACTATACACCGTTACAGTGATTCCAAGACTAATATACATATTGGAAACACTTACCAAATCTTGTCTTTAATAATGCGAGATCTGGGAAACTAAATAAATACCATATTTTTCTGAAGCACAGAATGAGATCAACATAGGTCAAATTGTGTTAAAAGTATTCACTGCTACAGGATTATTCAATTCACATAGTTTTTTTTTTTGTAATTAAAACTATGCTACGCATCACAGAAATCTTGCATTCTGTGTAGCCTCTCAAGTGTTAAAACACGCATTTCTTCTCCACAATTAGACCACAATAATATATTTTAACTTTTTAAATAATGCAAACTAACATTCTTACAATAAAAACAGGCAGAAAAGCAAGACAAAAATAAATTGCACCCGTACTACTTTGTTTTACATATCATGCAAGCAGACCCAAAAATATCGTGCCTTTTTTCAATCCAATACTAGAATGCAACTAGAATCCAACTTGTTTACTATACCAGGAATTAAATTATCCTAAATACCACTTGCCTTCTCAATAGTTTCTCAGTTATCAAAACCATAACAGTAACTTCTTAAACTGAATACAAAATGATTAAATGTTTCTGGTACCATTTTCAACAATTTCACATCAACCTTCTTTGGAATGAATGTTTTACAGAAACTATTTAGTTATGTGTTAAACTTTTCTTGAAAGAGAATGGCTATACTGTATTTACACTGTCCAACTAACCCAATGTATTCCTGACCCAGGAATACCTCATTCTGCACAGTGTGTGTTACTGCAGCGAAACATCTTCATTCCCTCTCACCGGCCATGGCCATAGTCAGTCCTAAAGTGATTTCCAGGGTTCAAATGAGGGTAACGCTCCCTCTCTAAGAGCATCTGTCTTTGTAGTTGCTCGTGAGCATGGGCTGCCGAGAGCTGAAAAAACAAACGCAATTAATTAATACGGTAATACACCATGGGTTGGGATTGCAGTAGTAGTAAGTATGGACCAAATGAAGGGACAGCAGCTGTATGATGAACAGAAAGATAAAGTAGGAATGATAGAAAGCTAAACAGAAACGGAGAAAGTTAGTATGAGTGAAAAAACCAGCGTTGAATGTAATGAAATACCAGTTTTTGGGCGAGACCTGGAGGCTCCCCGGAGCTATCTAGGCTGATATTGCTAATATTAGACTTTGGCATCAGTCAGTGTGAAAGGAGTTCATAGACCTACCGGGGACCACGAGCCAGAACATGGCCCCCCTCAGAGAGGCACAAGGAGCAATGGCCTATATTGCAAGATCTGGTAAACTAAATAAATACCATATTTTTATGAAGCACAGAATGAGATCATCATAGGTCAAATTGTGTTAAAAGTATTCACTGCTACAGGATTATTCAATTCACATAGTTTTTGCATGTGGTTAGAAGCATTCTATGTTTGCCATACACTGGGTCAGGCACCCAGAAAGATAAGCATCCCAAAACAAACCCCTATTCTGGTTAAGAAATTGCAACTAAAAGCCGAGCTAGTGGACAGAACTCCCCAAACAAAAATGAGCAAACAAGCATGACATCACCACATCGCCGTTTGCGCAGCTCCCCCCTCTTTGGGAGGGGGGAAAGGGGGAGCCCCAGACCCCCCACGCCAGCTATCCAAAACCTCAGTTCTGAGACTAGACATCAAAAAACACGCGAAAAACCGCCAACTGGAAAGAGGGAGGGTCACTGGGGAGCCTCCGGGTATCACCCACAAAATGGCGTTTCATTACATCCAACGCTGGTTTTCTAGGGGGAGCCCTGTTGGCTCCCTGGAGCTAACTACCCAAAGACAAGGACAAAAAAGGGACTAACCCGGGAGGCGGAAACCTCATGCTCGAACCTGAAAGCAAGACAACTGGCAACACCAAACGACCCTGCAGATGACCTGGGAGACCCGAACCCTGGAACAGGGACGAAGGGAACCCGGGTCAGCCCATAGCGTGTCTAGGGCGACTTAGGCCGCGGCACGAAGGCAAAGACTGAGAGCCACACCCGAACATAAGAAGAAACACCCCGGCCAACCAAACAAGCAGCAACAACCCCAGGGACCCCTCTGGAAAACAGCTGTCCCAACCTCGCCAGAAAAGTAGAGATGGCTGCAATGAACAAACTGAACACCAGAAACCACAGAGAAACTAACCGGAACTGAAGGGGCCACAACAAACCAAAGGGAAGAGAAAGAGAGCACCCTGTCCAAGACCAGGACGGCTCAGGAGGCTCGTGAGCAGGCCAGAGGCGAACAACGCCCGAGACAGCTCGCGAAATGGTGAAGAGGGAACACCAAAAACCGAAAGCAAGCTGTAGCGGCTCCGCCAGCGCCGCAAAAGACAAGGCGACAGTATGTGTCAAGACGACAGTCCCAAACCTCCACGAGAGAAGGACAAGACCATGTCAACAAAAAGCGCAGGATACCTACAACCTAAGTACGTAGGTATCCTGCACACGCGTCCCTGAGTAATAGATGAAAACTACCCAGGACGTGTACCGCACTACGTAAAAAATGTACCATCTGGAAAAGGAACACAAAGAAAAGGCCGTAGCCAGGGCCATAATCCTAACTCCCCGTCCCAATGAAAAGGAACTGAAGGGACAGGAATGGGTGATTTTAAAGGTACATCCACCAGCAGACATTGTAACACACAAGCTGGTAGTAACATACAAGAAGATGAAAGAACTCAGTTCTATAACTGAACACTGGGGCTGTCCAATCTCAGGGAACTAAACATGCACACAGTCCAATCTAGCACCAGCAAAGCCAATAAGTCCATATTAAGATACACAACAATGTGTAGAGGTAGGAAATACGGAAACATGCAATGAAAAGACCCTAAATATAGTCCAAGCACCGGTAGATAGGAACAAGAGAGTATAATCCATTTGATGAACTAATAAGACCTAGGAAGCAAGTGGTAATGGAATGTACACGATCAAGTAAATACACAGACACTCCAATGTACATACAGTGGGGCCTCCACTTACGAAGGTAATCCGTTCCCAGAGACGTATCGTAAGTCGAAATGAATTTTCCCACAAGAAATAATGGGAACTGAATTAATCCGTTTAACACTCCCCAAAAAATTTATTTCAAAGTAAATTTTATACCTAATTCACCCAAATCTTTAGTACTAAAGTATGTACAAGTTATTGCTTACCTTTATTGATGACTCCTGTTGGTGTATGGAAGATGGTGAGGAGGGGGGAGGAGGGGGGAGGAGGGGGGAGGAGGGGGGAGGAGGAGAGGTGTTAGTGTTTGGAAGGAGTCTCCCCTTCCATTATAACACCAGGAAGTGATTGCTTTGCTTTTTTTCAATTTTTTTAATTTTTTTTTTTATTTTTTAGAGAAAATAGAGCAGCCTACCTGACATCCACTGAACAAACCTTTTTGACATTTTTTTTCATTTTTTTTATAGAAAATGGAGCAGCTTACCAGACTTCCACTGAACGAAAATTTTAGACATTTTTCTTTTTTCAAATTTTTTCAATATTTGTCTGTAGTGATGCATCACAGTGTCATTGAAAATTTTAAGGCAACTGCCTACTGCAGCTTGAGTTGGGCGAGTCGTTTCAGCAAAAGTTTGCAGTTCTTCCCATGCTGCTGCACACATTTTCATAATAAATGAGGAAGGGACATCCTCTACATCAACAACCCTCATACCATTTTTATGTTTACGAATGATCTCTTGCTTTTCCTCTGTGGTCATCCTCACATACTCATACTCGAACGCACATCAACGAATATCATTGGTCGATGACATTATTGTAAGTCGAGTCACATTTTCTGATTAAATTTATATCGTAACTCGAAATTATCGTAAGTTGGGCAATCGTAAGTCGAGGTGTCACTGTATAAGGGTGCAGCCAGGCACTGAATGACTGTCAATGAATGAGCGTCCAGAGAACATTGACTAAGTCAATGAATGAGTGCCCAGATAGCATCGATATAAGCACAAAGTAAGGTCATGTTACGATGCACGCAAATGGGCCAAGCAACACACCACAAACAATACCCAACACTCATCCAAAAATCGAGAACCAGAGCCTAGCTGACCATATACTCTCGGTCTATACAGTCGCCAAACCGTATACTCTCACCTGTAGAGCGTAGACACAATTGTGTCATGACACAGCTGAGCCGTGTAACATTCCGGGAACATCGCTAGAGGATTATGTCCAAAGTCGCACACACTGCAGGAGATTAGGTGTTGTGTAGAGGTGCAGGCGGTGCTACTCCGAGCCACCCCACACCTGTAAGCAGCGAAAAGAACTAGGTGTTTTCCCTACATACAAAACCCAGAACATCTCCAGTATCGAGGGGGCTATGACCGGAGAGAGAAAATGAGCGAGTGCGGCATATGACTCAAGATAAAGGTCACGGAACACCAACACAGGTTCACACTGACCATGAACAAAACGATCACCCTCGGGCCATGCGCAGAATGCAGGAGGACCAAGGAGGCTCCTCCCTCTCGCTGGGGAGGGAGCCTACAAGGCTTATTAAACGATCATAATAAATGTCGAGACAGATTACTAAGAGAAGAGAAGATAAGAAAATAATTAGATACAACAGGGAAAGACAATAAGCAGTACGGAAGAGTACCAATGAGGCCCATAAAAGACCAGAGGTAAACCTCACTGGAAATCGGCAGACGTTCCAATAATATGGCAAGTACGAAGATCCACCTGAACCTTCAAGATCCCTCTGATAATCAAGCACAAAATCAGAGGGCCCATATGGGCCCATGGCCATGCAGGATCCCGATACGAAGCAAACAAGAATGTTGAGAAAGTGGATAAAAGTACCCACAGGAATGACGGAACCAATGGACCCGAAGGGACACGGAACTGAACCCGAGGAAGGGGCAGACACGAAACCAACTCATATGCAGAGGGGGAAAGGAAAACCCCACTCCAAGTAACTGCAAGCCCCGCTCCTAGGGCACAAAAATCCAAGTGGGGCCAACGGGGCCAAGCCCCAAGGGCAATACTTACAGGTCATCTAGGGAAGATAACCCTAGGCGCATGCAGCCCGAGTACTGAAGAATTACTCCTGGCTTGCGCACCCCCTATGAGACAGCCACCACACAAGATCACATAGCTGAAGACGAAAACCGGAGCCAGAGCACACGACTTCAGCCTAGCGCATCAGCCTCAGAACTGAGGTTTTGGATAGCCGGCGAGGGGGAGTCTGGGGCTCCCCCTTTCTCTTCCCGGGGAGGGGGGAGCTGCGCAAACGGTGTTGCGGACACAGTGACATTATGCTCGTTTGCTCGTTTTTGTTTGGTGAGTTCTGTCCACTAGTTTGGCTTATAGTCGCAATTTCTAAACCAGAATAGGGGTTTGTTTTGGGATGCTTACTTTTCTGGGTGTCTGACCCGGTTGATAGACGTAGAATGCTTTCAACCACATTGGGGTTACTATAAGCCATTGCTCCTCATGCCTCTGGCTCGTGGTCCCCGGTAGGCCTATGAACTCCTTTCATACTGACTGATGCCAAAGTCTAATATTATCAATATCATCCTGGATAGCTCTGGGGATCTGACGGGTAACCCCACAGAAAAGGAAGAAAATGAGCAAGGCAAAGGGTGAGAAGAGAAATACAGGAACAAATTATATACCGTATTGCACCTTACAGACTCATTAATACAATTTTTTTTAATCAATGCACTGGTGGGTTTGGATAAGATCTTTATTTTTTTTTTTTTGTATAGCATGAGGAGGTAACATTAGTGAAGATTTTGTATGTGCTATCCAAGTCTGCAATTTTATTCCAAATTTTCCTTTGGGGATCATAAAAAATTTCAAGTGGCAAGGTTGTAAAAACTATAATTTATTTAACAAACTGAGAATGAACAAAAATGTAAAATTGAATAGTTAAAGGTTGTAACTTATAATAAAAAAAAATGTACCGTAGTTGTGAACTTACGTGAGCTAATTCCTCATAAGGTCGTCCTAATAAGGCAGCATGGTGGCTCTGAGGTGGGTATCCAGGGGGTAGTGGCGGAGGGGGGTCACCGGGCCTTAGCATGGGTGGTCGAGGAGGATAACCAGCTGCAGCCGCTGCTGCTGCTGCTGATAAAAAAAATATACATTTATTTTAAACAAAAATTATTACCTCAATTGCTTCTGTTTACAAAATTATATTTTAACTAATTAACACAAAATATACACATATCTTTACACACACAACCACATATTTACATACTGTATACAGAAAAATTTAATAATGAATGTCTTTGCAAATACAATTTGATATATTGCTGCAAACATATTTGTTTTATGAACCAAATCATAGCCAATTGAGGATAATATCCCCAGCCCTCATGCCATATCTCAAAACAAACAATATTATGAATACAGGTATTATGAAAACACAAAGATTCCCCCAAGCATGTCTTCACATGTTACAAAACATGAAGAGAGAGAGGAAATGAATGTTAGCAGTGTGGTTGGCAGAGGGATTAGTGGATGCAATTGGGGGGTGTAAATGGCAGAGTTCATGTGGTAAGGATGGAGCTGCAGATATGTGGTTTGTGGTAATGTGGTGGTTGAAAGTAGGTGTTTATCTATCAATGGCTATGGAGAGTGAGATTTTCCTGTGGGTTACACTACCCAGTAACAACAGGAAACTCAAGTTTTATGGTCCTACACAAGTGTTGTATGTCTGAAGTCAATACGTTCACAAATCAATATATTTTTATGGGGCAAGAAAACAGAACTGTAATTACTGGGCTACAAGTACACTGTTCAACAATGAAAGAAACCTTAATTTTTTTCCATCATACATCAGTGTTACAGGCTCTCAATGAATATGATGAGCCTATCTCAAGATATTCCATATACAAAAATGTTCACAAACAGCTACACAATTTTAGGCTCAAATATAAAGTACTTTAAGCTTGAAATCAATACAATGAGACATTCTTGAGATTATGAAAACTTTAAGGAACAAAAAAGATAATCATAAGGAATCCCTATTGGAGATACCTAAAAAAAAAGGGTTTACAAGATTGGAATAGCAAAGATAAAGAAAAAGTTACTTTAATGATTTTTAGGCCTTCGTGATCAAAATTGGAATTCCAGGGGCCTCAAAAGGTCACATTTTTCCACTCGTACATCTACAAAATACCTATCGGGTCATTATTACTAAAAACTCTCAATACTTCCTAGCCACATCATATATAACTAATTTGTACATTAACCAATGACACAAAAGTAAACATTAATTTGTATTTCTTCTTGGAGTGCAGCTGGTGTTGCAAACTATGTGGGAGAGGCCATGATGCAACAACATGAGATGGGACAGGGTTGAGCTTGGAAAGTGGCTCAGGCAACTCAGGGACGGGGGGGGGGGGTAAGGTTGCTCTTTCCAATTCAGATGGATGCAGTTGAGCTTGCTTGCCCTGCCGGGGCTTTTGGGTATTCCTTCCAGCCAACCCCTCCTTCTTTAGAAGCCTTTTCCATGGACTCTGCTTTTCTATCCCAAGTGGTGGGTGTGACCTGAGGGCCCTCAACTGCGATTTCCAGGGCTTATGGGAAGTCAAGTGTGGACCCTTCAGTCCTGTTCGACTCTACATGGTTCCTTGTTCCCTCTGTGGGATTCTCGATTTGGTGGGGGAGGGTGTTCTTGTTCCCCCTCTGTATGCATATGATGTGACTCAGGAGGAGCTTTTTTCATTCCTCCTCTGTGACCCAGCTTGTGTCTCGTTGTTGGACCCTGCTGCTTTTGCGTTTATTTTCCTCCCTATATGAAGTGCTACGAGGTTCAGGTGTCTCCCTGGCTGGCAGACACTTTTATTCTCGCGTGGGTCTTGGTGCCACTTTTGTCGGTCCTGCACGCTTGAGTGGCATGGGGTGTTGTGCGTAATATGGGGGTTCTGGGGAATTTCTTTCATACCCCTTCTAACTGCTTGTTTATCCACACTAATTTCTCGGGTTGCGAGTAACATGCAGCTTCATGCCCAGGTCCCTTTCTTTTCAGCACTGTCTATGGCGGATAGTCTTTTCGACACATATTTATCACAATCTCTACAGCGATCAGGTGGCTTCATTGATGGTGACCTGTGGTCTTCTCTGCAGGGACAGAATGAGGTTTCGTGGAGCTCCTGTCACCACTTCCTTTCTTTTTTTTTGTCATTGTTCTTCAGTTTCTGAGTGTGTGGTGCTCTCTTTTCTGTCTTGGCTTTTTCTTGATCTGCATCTTATGCTGACTACTGTCTCTTCATATCACGTAGCATTACCTCAGCTCTGTTTAGAGAGCTGTCTCGTGCATTGTTTCAACTCTGGCCTGCTCACGCACTGCCTAAGCCTGCTTGGTCTCTGGACCGTGTTCTTTCATTTCTTTTTTTTCTGCTTGGTTTAAGATGTCCCCTTTTAAGTCCGTGATTGTTTCTTTACGCATTTGTTTTTGGTTTCCCTTGCTTTCGGTTTTCAGGTGGATGAGCTTCATGCTCTCCTCCAGCAACAGGGATTTTGTTTTTTTGGCCTTGGTGGGCAGTTTGTTCGTCTGCAGCCGGCTCCTCCTTTTCTGGTGAAAATGAGTTGATTGACTTCTGTAGTAGTCCTTTGGTGACTGATGCTTGGTCGGTTTGGATGTGGGAAATATTAGAAATTGGAAAATATTAGAAGGATTGGTTTCAAATCTGCACACAGAAATAAGACCACATATGATCAGAAGGCAAGGCAAGTTGTGCAAAACAGCCTTGCTGAAGAGCAGAAGAGAAAGAGAACTCCACCAACATCAAAGGCCCAAGACTTTTCAACACGCTTTCCCCCACATATACAGGGCATAACTTGCCAATCTCTCACAGTGTTCAAGAGAGAATTCGACAAGCACCTTCAAAGGATATCTGATTAACCAGGCTGTGACTCGTACGTCAGGCTGCGAGCAGCCGCATCAAACAGCCTGGTGGATCACACCAGCAACCATGAGGCCTGGTCAGAGATTGGGCAACAAGGACATTAACCCCCGGAATCTTCAACAGGTAAGGGAGTAGAGTATTATGTATTGTATCCAGTAGCAGCTCTGCTGCAACCTTCGTGTCACAGATTCTGCTGCTGTGGTTGCTTTGTGGGTTGATCCTCTCACCTTGGACCCTTATTCCAAGGCTTGTCTATCATAAAAATCGAGACCAATACAGTCCAGGTGAACGGAATGGATTGTCTTTCTCAGGTCATCCTTAATGCCATTAAATCCAGGCAGCCTGTGGTCTACCCTCATCCCCATGATGTTAGGAATTACCCTGCTCTCTCATCTAAGTTTTCATCTTGATTGCCTGTGGTGTTCACTCCTCCCTGGTAAATGCCCAATTGTTTTTCCTTTTCTCAGGGTAGTTAGCTTCGGGGAGCCACAAGGGGCTCCTAGAAAACTAGCATCGAATGTAGTGAAACCCCAATTTCTGGGTGAGCCCTTGTGGTTCCCCAACACACTCCATCCCTCCAGGTCATCGGGAGGGGGGACGGAGGGGGGGTTCGGTCATATCTACCATAGAACAGAGGTGGAGATGCTGGCTGACCATGTGCTGCCTCCCTCCCCTCAAATGAGTGAGGGAGCTGGGCAAACAAGCTTGAGTTAATTTCAAGCCATTCATTTACATTGTCTAGGTCATTTTGAAGGGCATAACAGTCATCAAAGTCTTAATCTCCTTGGTACCTTATATATATGCATGCTTATTCATAGAACTCTGAATTCCTTCTGGTAGATTACTTACGGATATAATAAACATTACTGAGGCTAGTATAGAACCTCCACATGCTTGTAAATGATACAAATCTATAATGTGGAGGGTTTCCTCTGCTATTACTTTTATATTGGAACTATGTTGTATCCTGTTTTAATCTTTCATAATCTCTTTCACTACTCTTTGTCTTGACATAATTAAACCAATGGCAGGATTTGGATGTTTTAGTAATGAGTTCAAACTATTTCTATCTTCTCCACTGTCTTCCAACATTTACTATTAAAGTTCTTCTTTTAATTAGTGTTTTCTTTGTTTCCAAGTTTTTTCATACATTTAATCCCCTTCTCTCACTCAGCAGTGCTTGACTCCACTCTAAGTCACACTGAAAGAGTTTCAGTTTCGCTCATTTCCCAAAGTTGAAGTCCATCCCTAAACAAGTGAAACTTGCCCTAGTGAAAATTATGGCAATGTCACTAGTAAAACTAATGAAATTGTGGGAGTATTGTATACTGAAAATTCCCCTTCCCTCTTTCTTTCCTAGTAAACACTGTCTAAAATAGAGGTGGTACGTTCCTCCCACATACTAAAAGCCTTTGACACAACTTCATACAGAGAAAACCCTCACAGTTCAATTTCTAAACTGAATTATCTATAATCCAGTAAATTGTTTTAAAATTGAAGTATTTATAAAGATTTTACTCTGTTGTTAATTTGAGCACTGTGCTCTTATATATTCTTGAACATTAATAACCACTTTTCATTCTTCCTTTCTAATTTTGCTTCTTCATAGTGTAGGTTATTTTAAATATTAACTCATTCAACACCTGCATTGCACCCTTGTTTATAGCCGATAACCCTCAGGTGTGCAAAGAGAAAAAATAAATTAGATTATTTTTTCTAATACATATTGTTAAAATGCATTCCTTAATCACAGGAAAAAAAATTGTATATGGCTTATGAATTTTCACATTTATTTCCATGTCTCTGATTTGTTGTTTTTCAGGCTTTTGCAGTACAGTAATTTTATTCAATAGTGTGTCTTTTAACACTTTGGCGTACCCCGCGCACCACCCCTCAACTGTGCAATTTGGGCCCCAGGGTGTCACGGGAGCGCGCGTAAATTCTGAAAAGTGTATACTTTCTTCAACTTTGTCACCTTAATTCTCGTCCTACGAGATTAAATTTGGTATCATTGTGTTCGCAATATAATTCTCTACAGCACTAAATGCATATAAACTCCAAAAGCCAGGCTAATTACCCGCAGCAAACAGAGAAAGTGCGAACGAGTTACCCAGGAGCGAGCAAACGCGATAAAATGTTTTCACTATTTTCACTCTGGTCACCTCAATTTTCGTCCTAGGTCTTTCATTTTGGTCTCGATGGGTTTGCAAT